CTTATTAGTAATTAGTATGTTAAATAGTTAATACATTATTGTTGGAAAAAAAAAAAAATTACCATTTGGAGAGACTGCTTTTTTTTTTACTTGAGAAGTTGAACTATGAATATTATTTATTTGTTTGCTATTTACTAATTGAAAAAATAGTAGAAAAGAATAAGAATGACTCGTACATGCAATGTACTGTTAATGGGCCCAGCTCTCCGGGCCTTTAACTATCTCGACGAGCCTTCAGTTGAAGCCTTATTAAGTATGCAAAGTTGAATATACATAGGTTTTCTGGCGCGGCACTGAAAAATGGTTGCAAACTTTTTATTCTCATCATAAATCTGGCTCTGTTGCCAAGTATTAATACTTCCAGCAAACAACTTATCTCAGGGCCATATATTCAGCAATGATACGCATGTTGGTGGTTTTGTTCTTCTTAGCAGCTTTTTGACTTTTGTTGCGACTGAAGATAGACTTTGTCTTGGATTTAACGGTATCCAAACTGGAAGCAGCAGACATTACTGAAACGTTTGATGAATCGATCTTTTTTAATGAAGCAAACATACTGATGATTAGATGGTTACTTCAATGAAGAATAAGTTATGAAGTCTATTCCAGAGGGAATATCATGTGGTATTTATACCCCCTTTAGGAGTCCGCATTTAAATTAGGATCAATAATCGTAATTTCCAAAATTCCACATAGTTAAAACCTTAATAGTTGTTGTAGGATGTAAACCAGATTCGGAGCCGAGATCTATTTATAAAATAAATGTGATCATATTAATTCCATTAGAAAATAAACTTGGTCATATTAAATCACTGGTACGTATTTAATATATGATAAAATATACTAACATAACATTACCTTAATATAAGCAACATAAGATATAAGATATATGACATACCATAAAGACCACAATATATGATATAAGAATATGAACAGTGCAAGCTGAATAAGATAAACATAGTAGACAGAATAACTGAAATATATGGTGAGAAAAAGGAAAGTGTACACTATAAGCCCGCTATATAGAAAATGTTATAGATTAAATGAGTATTAATGAGGGGAAAGCTTGTGCAAACTATAAACTGATCTAATCTAGACTTAATTATTTTTATATCTAAAAATATATATCTTTTCTCGAATACTAAACTACACTGAAACTTGGGGGAATTAGACTGATATTTATAATGCTTAGGAAGGAGCTGGTCTAAATTCTGCCAAGACACAAAGAGTCTACTAAACAAGGACAACGACGCGTCATGGACCAATGCGTAAGCTGAAGGAACGATTGCCAATGCCAAGACGTCCAGCTACTGACCTAATGGACACGCTGAATAAACAACAAGCCAAGGCCACTATCAGAGACCGCCTTCTAATTGCCAAGGACTCAACACCTTATCATAGAATGGCCATAACAGAAAAGAAACAAGAATATTATGAACAAGTCAGAGACTATGAACAAGTCAGAGACTATGAACAAGTCAGAGACTTGATAAGATGCGATCAGAGATGATTCAATATTGAGAAAAGACGTCATCAGAGATTGTTGTAGTATATAATCCAAGGTCTTGCTAAAATTAGAAGGGTTACTAAAATTAGATTAGTACAAAAAATAAATAAAGTGCATGTAAAAAATAGAATAATGGAAAATAAGGATATAGAATGTGGAATAACTCACCGGAAGTAAATCCCGAAATCCTTTTACAGACGTACAATGTAATTGGATGTTAGAGCTACCCTTTTGATAGATATACTCTCTGGGCTTTCTGCATGTTTTCTTATGATAATCATATGCTTGTGTATGTAGAGTGCAAATGATACTATTTAATAACCATCTATCTACTCTTTAGAAGAGCTTCCCAATACAAGTTCTAAACTAGCCTAAATCAACCACATAAGCCGTCTCTCTCAATTTATGGGTAGCGCCGTGCTTGTTGTTATCATATATATGAGCACTCTGTTACATTTAAGTGATGTATATGCCTCCTTGTCAAGGTCTAGAGCAGAAAGACGACGACATGACTTACTTGCTGCAAAATACCTTTATAATGTGTACTGCTCTTACTTCCATGCGACAAAGAGATCTCAGTTTCTACAAACAACACTTTAGTACTGCAGAATTCATACTGAAGAATTACAGGGTTCATCTCCTGTTCTCATTTCCTTTCATGCCAAATCATGCTCATGTATTTCTCTGTTAACTATATACATTTTTAATAGATTCTCACTCTAAATACAAGTTCTATTGTCATTGTTTTCCAATTTAGATCTTAAATCTGTGGCCCTTTGGAGTATATAATGGAGACCATATACCTCTAACGGAATCATTATTAGAAATAACTTTATGATTACATTTAAACAAGTTATTTCCTGAACGTCGAATATAATCATTAATCTTATCAACTACTTCACCTTCATTCAAACGAGCAACATCTACTGTCTGTTGAGTCTTATTATTGTAATGGAATATTAATTTTGGACTTCCCGATCTTTTAGTCACTTCAAATACTGTTCCCTTGTGTTGATCAGCAATTTTACCTAATTGTTTATTTGCCAATACATCACGCAAACCTTGTGAGGATCCACCCCAATTACAATATTGAACAATTACTTTATAACATGGATTCACGAATGCACCAACACCATTACGTGCGACAGATAATTTAGGTATAGCTTTTATAGGCATCTCTCTTTTATTATTCTTTAAATATCCGTAACCCTCCTTTTAGTCTATTTACAACCTCGTACTGAATCAATCTAAGTTAGAAAAATTTTCATTGACTGAAACAAATCTTGTGGTGCACACGACTTTTTTCTGTGGTTCTAAATAGGTCGTGCAACCAAGACCAAAAAAAGAATTTCTTGTGATGCGAATTTTAGCCAAAAAAAATGTGGAACCTGAGTGAAAAAAAATTTTGCAGTAATAAAACAACATAAAACTCATTAACTTATCTTAGACCAGGTAAAAATTAAAAAGAATGGACGAGTCCGGAGTCGAACCGGAGACCTTTCGCATGCTAAGCGAACGCGCTACCAACTACGCCACACGCCCATTTGGTTGAAGTTTCGAGTGTAGAAGTTGATCGAGCGAGAGCGAACAGGCGAATAGATTTTTTGGATTAGATGGATATCCACGGTGTATATCAGATTGATATCTAAGGGGAAGCCTTCAGAAATGCTTCTCAACACGATAGTTAAAGGAAAAAGAACATTTTCTCCGGGGATCAATGATATTATTCGTTTTACGACCGGGGATCTCTAGTCCCAGAAGCAAGGGAAGAGGAAGCAGAGAAAATCGTATTCCAGTCAATATCTTACCTCCGTCGAGTCTGGTACTTAAGGCTTTGAGAAATATGGATAGCAGGGCGAGCTTCTGACATACCAGATAGATATTCAAACTTCCACGAGCATACTGTCTTCTATACCAGTTTTTTCTTCCTCTTTTTTTTTACATATACAATCTCTTCCTCATATCTGGATAACTTAAGACGTTCTCGAAAATATTGTCAATATAGCTTCACAAAACCATTCACAGATAGCATCAATTTAGGCTTACGCTCGTGTCTTACTTGCTCCCATAGTGAAAGACATTTACCTTGGTATACGCGAGAGAGAAAAAACTAACCAAGAACTAAGGCATGGCCCGTGGAGGAACTCTTTTGAAAGGAAACACCCCAAAAGGCGAGGGTGAAATACTCTGATAATCTATAATTAGACATAAACTCCACTAGTTGTGCAGACTGGATCGCACAATCCGTATGAGATACCGAGCCAAAATTGAATGACCAGTGCCACCGAGAAACGGCAATTTTCAGCAGATTGCCCACGAAACTCTTCCGGATGGGCCCATTGGGTATACTAAGCATTCAAGCTAATATCTGAAGACAGACTTACTGATTTGCGTTGCAACGAGAAGTGTTTCTCCTTTTTTTGCAGTTCGTCTTTTGCCAGGCCCTTTTTTTTGCAACAATTTTTTATCACGTGCAGATAGATAAGACGCGCATAAACCTTCTCGGTGTCACTTGCCTATAGAGATAAATAGCCGCAAAATCCAATTCTACACATGAATTAATAAAAAAAAATAATAAAAATAAAAATTTTCAAATTTATTAAAAAAACCCAAAATAAATAAACACCAAAATTAAAATAAAGAAATGAAATGAAATAAACCCATCAGGAACCGAACCAAATTGGAAGAGAATCCAATATATATATATAAAATAATCAAAATCAATTAGGAATTTGACACAAGTCCTTATTGACATTGAATGAAGTAATAATAAACTTTGTAGAAGCGGCAACAATAGCAGTGGTTGGTGCAACAATCTCTTTTGAATCAGCAACATCTGAAGCAGCAGCAACCATAATCTTTGGCTTTTCTTCTTTAATGCATTCAGTCTTGATACCTCTGACATTACTATCCTTGCTTTGAAGTTTGTAGTTAACATTGAATAATGGTGGAAGTGCAATGTAATTGACGTCATGATTATAATGTTCACATTTCACTTCACTGAAAACAGGTGATTGAATAGGGCTTGGATAAGGTATTGGTTCATGCTTCACAGCTGGTTCAGACTTCACTTGTGGTTCAGTCATAATAGGTGTTGCTAATAAAGATTTAATATCACATTTAGTTGATTTAAGGATTGGTGATTTAGACCCTGATTTAAGTTCCTTAATAGGAGGAGCCTTTGAAGTAATGATAGTTGGAATAGTTTGTTCTGGCCAACAGCATTCTAAAAAGTTTCTAGTACAAGCTTGACATTTCCCATTGACTTTATCTTCATCACATTTCTTCTTTCTCTTTCTACAAGTTAAACAACCAGTCTTGGTTCTTCTTTTAATTTGATTTTCATCTCTTTTTGGTTTTGCAACTTTCTTAGTTGAATTTACAGGTTGAGTGGTTGCCTTAACTGTCTTTGGTTTCACAGTAATGTTTAGCACTTGTTGATAAGATCTATAATTACACTTTTCCATTTTTGATAAGGTTTACACTTTAATGAAAAAGAAAACTGTTGGTCTAAAATTTTCATGAAAGGGAGGGGCGGATGATGATTATATATGAAAATATCAAAGTGTGGTCTTACAATTTAAATTAATTTGCAAATTTTTAAAAGTTTGAGTCAGCGTCCATTTCAGGAAACTTAGATCGAGTTAACCGCGATGTTATATCACATTTAGGTTAAGTCACAACGAATTCCTAACGAAAAAAGAAATTAACCGCGCAAGGTCTTTCCATTTTTGTAATTAACAGACAGTTTGAAATTTTTTTCTTCTAAAAATGGATTCGGCTCTAAAATTATTTTTTGAAATTGTCATGTCAATTCGCCTACCGGAAAAATAAAAAATTTCACACTTTTTTGCAATTAACGGCATCAAGCGAAAGCCGACCAAAATTCAAGCGCCTGCTTAGGGGGCCAATCAGAAGCTGTAAAACGCTAGACATTAGCTGCATACTTAAACGGAGTTAGCGTTTACAGCACCTACCAATAATACAACTTGAAAAAAACGTCACACGATCAAAAATCCATTCAACCAACTGAATGTAAATTGGCTAGTATCAACAGAATACACAGGTGTGCCCTTCGCTGTGGGATATTAGGAGATTGAGCTATGCTTTAGTACACTTAAGTAAGGTCTTTGAAGTAAAGCAACAGTGAAATTGAACTTTCAGGATATCTAAAAAGAACTTGTTAGCGATACTATTAAGGATCAGATTTGTCGCAAGGAATCCAATCGAACTGAATCCATTTCAAGCGGCTTACCAGCAATTTGACGACATAGTTCCAGCATAGATGTCTTTATAAAATGACACTGTCCGGAACAGGGTATTCTGTTTAAATTCTGTTTTGTTGAATCAAACATTGCATTGCAATGTCCAATATCCTAAAGAACTATTGGTAAGCTCACTAAAGCACGATCTTGTTATTAAGAAATAAAACGTGATTATAACTTGAGAGTTTCCTTTGAGTGCTTAGAACTTCGCGAGGGTTCACCACTTTCAAGCAAGACCCTGTACCCCAGAAAACGATATAAAAGCTTGAGATGCATTGTAGTTAACAAAATGGCTGCGAAAAAAAAAAATATAAACCTTCGAAAACATCCTAACTTCTGAAGAAAAATAATTTCCCCTTCTTTGACAGTGGTTTATCTCACCCAAAAATTTACATTTTTATTCAATTTTAAGCAAAATACTATGTCAAAGTTGTCAAAAATATGAAATTCAAAAAGAAATGGTCCCTAGCAGGATCGAACTGCTGATCTTGGCGTTATTAGCACCACGCCTTAACCAACTGGGCCAAGGGACCTCTGTGAAAGCTGTGGGACTATCGAGACAATTTCCTCAAGTGATTTTAGCTGCAAAAGCGGATCAATATTTCTAGAATTGTCAATGTTCTGTAATAATTATATCTCCCGAACTTGGCTTTATTATATATCTAGATCCAGTTGGGGTCCTGAGTCATGTTTTACTCTTCTAGGTCTCTTCTAGAGCGGGTTAGAAACCTGCTAAATTTTTGGTTCAAATTTCATGATAAATTCCATGACCAACTGGTTTTATCACAGAGAGACTGCAAAAGTAGTAATCCAATAGGCAGGATTTTATATAAAGGGTTTGTAAATTCTAGCTACTTATCGCGAGCTTTCATTTTATAAAGCTCATAGTATTTGTTATATTCCTCTAACTGTAATAATGTAAATATCACAAAACCAGAATACGTTGAAAAATGGCAACCAAGCTATATTTTTTTTATAAATAAGATGCAATTGTTAATCATACCTTAGGCATAGTTATATAGCCCTAAAAGCAGTTCTTACAGAGACAGAAAGAAGATGAAAAATAAGAAAGACGAATTACAGAACCAAGTATTTTTGAAAACCATAATAGCCACAATATAATATTTTAAAAACACGAATAATAAAATCTAAAA